GTAGAAAACAATGGATGCGAATTGGTCCTAGTTGAAAACCACGAAACTTTTATTACAAATAAAAAATTAATACTTTTTCCTAATACACAACCTAGAAATGCTGCTCTTATAAATCATTCGGAATCACCGAAATCAGCAAACATGATAATTTTTTTCAACGACATTTTTTTTAATGACATGCTTGTTTCTCAATCAGGACATGTCATAAAATCTGTGGGAGAGTTTACAATTCAAAACGTGTTCTTAACAGATTTAAAGGTTTTTCAGGGTGAAACTTATGATCATAAATGTGCGCACTGGACTAATGATTGGCAAAATATTGTATCTTCCTGGGAATTTGGATTTGCTTGTCATTTTCCGAAAAGTAATTATTTTGCTTCAATGGATCAAACCACTTTCGAAAGAACAACGCACACTTTGGAGCAAATAGCAGAGTGTGACAATACGTGTGATGACGAAGAAATCATGTCAATTCTTTATCAAATATCAAACAGATATACTGAGTTTACTTCGGAAGATGTAACCCTTTTTGGAAACGCTTTAAAAAAGGTTAGTTTAAACGAACTGCTTTTGCACAGGATTGATACCATCATACACAATTTTAAAAAAATTGATAGTGAGGTACTATCAAAGAGTCAAGTCACAGAAGCTGGTGCCGAAGACAATGTTTATTACAACTACAACGTACTGCTAATGCGGTATTACAACATGATGTACCACAAGCTTGCTGATAATGACGTTACTCACTTTTTTTGTACTATAAAACAAGGGTGTGCTGGTATTGCATTCAACGGTGAAGAACTAAAAATTATTGAAAATGGCGCGGTTCTCCGTGAAGAATGCAAAAATTGTCTTGCTGTGGTTAAAGTGCAAACTGATTTGACTATAGATGAGCAACTAGTTCTTATGGTGAAAAAAACTTCCGATGACAATCACACACTTACTGTTAAAGTGCCTAAAATTTTTGCAAATTCTTCTATTACTATTTTAGTTTATTATCAAGTGAATTCAACGATTACAGGGGCAGCTGAATGCTTCTATCATTCTTATGATGGAGTTGAAAATAATAATCACTTCTGGGAAAAGGCTGCGAAAAAAGAGTTTTATTCTCATATACGATGCGAAGTGAGCGATAGCAGCCATTTTGTTATAACTCTAGTGGATTCAGTACAGAGTACGTTAACAAATCTACTAAAATCAAAGAGCTATCCTTTTGAAAAATTATCAATTCTGCATGCTATATCAAATGCATATGACGAATTCAATTCGATTGAGCTACCTCTGGTTGCTCAAATTTTGAATCATGTAAGTTATAGTAAAAAATATGTTAATTTAGAAGATTTGACCAAAGTTATTAGCAACTTACAAAAAATCGATAAGGATGTGATAGTAGGAAGCAGCATAGATTCAATTTTGAACTATACAGACATCATCATCCAAAACAATATACACAATTATGATAATTTTTTAAATATCGCAGATGATTTTATTATTGTCGTCAACGATGTTAAGAATGCTGGTTTTAGTGGACTAGTACTCTTAAATGACAAAATACAGATCTTAAATATGGTTCTGTAACGACACAACATTTATTAAAATTTGAAAACTTTTATAGTGCTTTGGTACTTAGCCCAGAACTAAAACAACAGATCGAAGAAGAAACAAATGATACAAAAATTGCAATCAAAGTGTTCCTCAAAAACAGTTTGTTTAATGCTGAAGACAACAATCAAATCAATAGTGTAATCTTCGACGTTATCCTTTCTGACAATATAACGACTTTTAAAGGACCCATTTCAGTTTATCACAGACCAGATAAACAGAAATCTAGAAAAGTGTGCGCTTACTGGTCGTATGATGCGTCCAGAAATGTTTCCGGATTTTGGAAGGAAGACCACGGTGCTAAAAAAGGTTCTCCTTTGATTCAATGCGACTATTTTCAGAGCAGAAATTTTGCTTACTTTTCTGACCAAAACGTGACGAACAATTTGGTTGAAATATTTCAGTCTGATGACCCCCCAAATGAAATTTTGGAAACGCTGACGAATCTTTCATCTAACTATGACCAATTCAATTCTAATGATGTTGTTCTTGTCGGTGCGGTTTTTAAGAAGATTAGTGACAGCGACAACGTCAGTTTAGAAAGTTTGAGTGAAGTTGTCAGCAATCTACAAAAAATTGATAGGGCAGTACTGGAAAAAAGTCAAGACAACGATAACGGTACGGATATTATTTTACACTATATTCAGGTCATTATGAAGAACCAGGAATATGTACCTGGCATGCAACCCATAAAAACAGACAACTTTGTTGCCTACATTACCGATTTAAATGATACCAATTTCTGCTCTCTTCTATTATTCGAAAATGGTTCAGTGGGAATTTTGAACGATTCGGTCAAGCCGGAAGATCTTCACAAAAGTGTTAGTAGTGCTATAATTTTAACCCCTGAATTGAAAACTCAAATAACAGACACCCAAGACACAAAAGTAATAGTCAATGTGTTCTTCAAAGATGTTCTGTTTAACGAAAAACAGTCCACAGAGTCCAAGAATGTTAGCAAAATTTTCGATCTTCTCCTTCCAGACTTTTCGGGTAATCTATCGGGACCCATCCAAGTGTTTCACAAACTGGAGGGAACAGACCAAAATTGCTCCCACTGGGACTACAACGTCCCCGCTAACATCTCTGGTTTTTGGCAACTCGACAACAAAGCCTTGGAATTTGGGTCGTTTGTTGTGTGTAAGTTTTGGCACGCAACCCATTTCGCCCAACTCTTTTTCCCTCAAGGTACGTACTCTAAAATTTTGGACTGGTTCACATACGTTACTATTTTGTCTGCAAGCTGCTACACCCTCATCATGGTATTTGCAGTTGTAAACAAATTTTGGAGGAAACGAGTCGAGAATAAAATTTTGTTCAATTTCGTTCTGTGTGGGTTATGCTTGACGGTTGCGTTTTACACGTCGAGTGGTTTTTCTGATCGCAATCTGTGTCTTGTGCTTGGATTTATCTTACATTATTTGGTTTTGGCACAGTTTTCTTGGATGCTGGTCATCGCCTTTTTCCAGTATCAGCGCTTTGTGCTTATTCTTCCTAGACAGTATACTCATATCGTGCTAAAAACTTGCTTGGTAGGGTGGGTGTGTCCAATCGTCATCCCAGTAACTACTGTTTTAGTTAGTGGTACTGGTTGCTATACGGAAATTGGTGGTCTTTGCTATCTCTCCGGTCTTGAATTATACTTGGCAATTTGGCTTCCCGGTGCCGTTGTTATTGTATCCAACATTATCATTTTCTCTTTCATTGTGTACAAAATTTGTTTTGATAAACTTCCTTTCGTTCGTTTCGGTGGTACCGAAGCTACGTACCACACGCGTCTTTTTATATTTTTGTTTTTTGATTTAGGGTTAATTTGGGTTTTTGGATTTTTCACGAAATTTAATGTGGTGCCTGCAGTGATATTTGACATTTTGGTGAGTTCTCAAGGGTGTGTTATATTTCTTTTTTTTGTGATGCTGAACAAACACAAGCGTAGGAACTAGATGTAACTAGATTTAGACAAAGTCCTATTTCTTATAGTTGTAAATAATGGACCTAAGTATATATTTTTTATATAAAAGTGGATATTTAAGATTTGTACAAAAACTGAGAAAATTTTGATCTATGGAGCTTAATAATAGTTTTAAATAGTTTTGACATGTCTGTGAGATCCGTGAAGTTGACTCCACAATGTAAAATATTTCCCTAAATTTACTATAAAAAATTAGTAGGTTATTTGTAAGTATTTGTAAGTCAAGTTTAATAATTTGTACGTAATATGTTTATCTGCCATTAATTAATTTTTATGTCGGGGCTAAATTCCCTAGTTTTCTAAAAATGATTTTTTTTGTCGTAATATTTTCTATAACATTTGTAAGTATTTGTAAGCTGCATTTTATAACTTCTAAGCGCCATATCAATCTACAATTAATTAGTCAAGTGAGCTAAGTTCACGGAAGCCTCAACGTTAGTCCAAAATGATGTTTTTGTTTTACTTTTAATTTGTATAACATTTGTAAGTATGTATTTGTAAGCTGAGTTTTGTAATTTGTAAGTGCCATATTTACCCATAATTAATTAATCAACATGTGAGGGCTATAGGGTCGCAGGAGCCTTCACTCTCATCAAAAAAGATGTCTTTCTTTTATTAACAATTTATTTGTAAGTATTTTAGAATTTGAAAGTACCACTTTCACTGGTAATGATTATAACATTACATAGAGCATTACAAATATAAACTTACACACACACATTTAAAAGATTTTCAAAATTCATTTTTAATACAAAGGTCACCTAAATAAAGTTTCAAAAATTATAAATGAAAATAATATCTTTTATTGATAAATCAATAACTAGGTAGGTAGCGACAAAATATATTACAGCATAAAAACAATTTTAATTTACAATTTTTATGTCGGGCTTGCATATTTTGTAATAGTGTAACACGTAATGCGGAATCCTGATAGGGCAATGTTATTTACTATGCATAAAAATAAAAAATAACAAGTTGATTTATTTACAAAAAATAAAAATTATAGAAACTTAAATTACCAAAACGTTTTACAGTATTCACTGTTCTGTACTACATAATACGTATATGTAGACATATTATACTAATACATTAAATTGTGTATATAAAAGCATGTACAATATATAACTGGTCACTCGAGACAGTTCTGACCTTTTTACATAACTTATCACTAGTTATCACATTTTTCCCACGCTCCGTTATTTCTCCTACATAGGCAACAGTATTGTTACATTATTTTAGGATTCGGTGTGTTTATTCTCCACCAAAATATTTAAAATTGTTGATATTGTGACAATTAAACTAAATGGTCTATTTGTTTCGTTTCAATTGTTAATCCCGTTGCGAAAAAATGCAACATATTTAATAAAGATTAAATTAACAATGGTCTCTAAAAATACAGGAAACAAAATCTACGCGCAAATAAGAGATAACATTACGTTGTGGAACTTTGATTTTTCATTTTGAAATTTGTAGTCAATGAGTACAGTTACGACAATGTCTGAAAAAAACGAAATGGTGTTTTGCCTCGTTATGTTGGTACGTAAATGGTACTATTCATACACGTCGTACTTAAGTTATAATTTTAGCTACAATTGGTGTTGGTACAAAGCGTGACAACTGACGTACCGGAAGACCTTTCAACATTTGTAAGTTTGTCATTTCTCAATTTTCACGTTGTTCTTGGTTTTATTCTCGAAACAGATTAACTACCAACCTGAAACACTACCAAAGTGTCCGCAAGGTTTCACCGAAACCAGTACCCTCTGTTACACCGTAAGCCAAGAATCCTCTTTTCCACCGCAGTGTCCATTTGAAAACGTCGTACCTTTCGATTCTTACGAACACATTTTGGAAAAAATCGAATTTCCGGTATGGTTGCCAGTTCAACGAGATCTCAGCAACGGTCTCGGATTTCTTCTGTGGATGGAACTCAGTAGCCGCTACAAGACTGTCTTCGACGACCCTTTCTTCTACACAGGTGGAATTAAGGGTAAAGATTGTCTTCTGTATCACAATCGTTCGCACGTCGAGGCGATTTCTTGCGAAAACGAACATAAAGCGATTTGTGCTTATGAGAAACAGCCAAAAAACCACAATCTTTGTGGTTACTGCCTTCCAGCGACTTATTGTAAGTACGAACACAGAGAGATTTGTTCTTCCGACATACTGCCAAAAAACCACACTCTTTGTGGTAATTGCGTTCAAAGTACTTTAAATTATAAATCAGGCTGTGTGTGCGTAGAGAGACAAAATTCCACATATACTAACGCTGAGTTCCTGGAACCGTTTCAAAATAATGTTTATGATTTGTTAGAAAATGAAACATGTGCCATCGGTCTTGAAAAAACTGAAAATGGTACTTATGTTTGGGCTAACTCTCAAGTTCAACTAAACTATAGTTTTTGGGCTGCGAATGACAATAACACTGGTGATTACGTTGGTTTATCGCCAGCGGGTTGGATTTTAACAGAAGAACCCTTGGAATGTTCTTTAGTTCAAAAACAGGTAAAGAAGACTTACCCTAGTTTAGAACTAGATGTTGATTCTGTTAATTATGAACTAAAATTGCATATTTCGAAATTTTCTGATCTGCGTCATCTCGACTCTGATACACTAGTTTATTGCTTCACGGACGCGAGTTCTTTCTCTTTATTGTACCGCTATTCAAAATTAAACTTGACGCATAAATCTCCCTATACTATGAATTACCAGTTGTCACCGTTTCCTAACGCTTCTGGTAGATACTGGTGCGAAGGTGTCCGATCTTTCGATCTAAAAGTAGTCACAAGCAATGTTGTACTTCTTCAGAATGACAAGTTTGTTGTTATTTTTCGTCTCACTTACCACGACATTAACCCGTTAGGTCCAGAGGTTGTAGAATTAATTAAAGATTCGTTAAACTTCAGTTACTGTCCTTACAAAATTTCAAAGATTGTGGACATCAATGAAGAAAAGCAAGAAATTTCTGTGAGAGTCCACTTTAGATGTGCACTCCTCACTTATATAGACGGAAATGTAACGGAAACGAACGCAGAGGTGAGAACTTTGATATATAGCTTGTATACAAACTCCAGTAAAGCGAACCTTGAAATAATGAGTCTGTGGGCCGTGGATTATCAACTTCCATTTTCTGATCACTTTGCTTGGCTTGAATCTTCTGCTGATGAGAAAACGCATTTCAGTGAATTATTCAGTTCGTCAGAAATTGATACCAATTGTTCTTTGATGCCAAAACTATCATCATCGACGGAAGATTTTGTTTCCATCATAGACGAACGTGACAAAGAGGCTTTACTAGACTTACTTCTTATTGCAGAAAACTATGCAAATTTTAATGCAATGGACGTTTACTTGATCTCTCAACTTATGCGTGCAGAATGGACACACTTTGATGAATTTGATAACGTTGTCAACAATATTTTGAAAGTCAATAAACACGTCTTAATGGATGCAATAGCCTTTTCTTCTACAGATATATGGTTCAATGCAACCGATTATTCAAACGAAAGCTCTTATGACCAAACACTGCTTCAATTCAAGTTTGATGAAGACGCTATAGAAAACAATGGATGCGAATTGGTCCTAGCTGAAAACCACGAAACGTTTATTACAAAGAAAAAATTAACAATTTTTCCTAATACACAACCTAGAAATGCTGCTCTTATTAATCGCTCGGAATCACCGAAATCAGCAAATATGATAATTTTTTTCAACGACATTTTTTTTAATGACATGCTACTTTCTCCATCAAGAGATGTCATAAAATCTGTGGGAGAGTTTGCAATTCAAAACGTGTTTTTGACAGATTTAAATGTTTTTAACATTGAAATTTTTAAAGGTAAATGCATGCACTGGACTAATAATTGGCAAAATAATGTATCTTCCTGGGAATTTGGTTTTGCTTGTCATTTTCCGAAAAGTAATTATTTTGCTTCAATGTATCAAACTACTTTCGATAGAACAACGCACACCTTGAAGCAAATAGCAGAGTGTGACAGTACTTGTGATGACGAGGAAATCATGTCAATACTTTATCAAATATCAAACAGATATACTGAGTTTACTTCGGAAGATGTGACCCTTTTTGGAAACGCTTTAAAAAAGGTTAGTTTAAATGAACTGCTTTTACACAGGATTGATACCATCATCCACAATTTTAAAAAAATTGATAGTGAGGTATTATCAAAGAGTCAAGTCACAGAAGCTGGTGCCGAAGACAATGTTTATTACAACTACAACGTACTGCTAATGCGGTATTACAACATGATGTACCACAAGCTTGCTGATAATGACGTTACTTACTTTTTTTGTGCCATAAAACAAGGGTGTGCTGGTATTGCATTCAACGGTGAAGAACTAACAATTATTGAAGATGGCGCGGTTCTCCGTGAAGAATGCAAAAATTGTCTTGCTGTGGTTAAAGTGCAAACTGCTTTGACTGTAGATGAGCAACTAATTCTTATGGTGAAAAAAACTTCCGATGACTATCACACACTTACTGTTAAAGTGCCTGAAATTTTTGCAAATTCTTCTATTACTATTTTAGTTTATTATCAAGTGAATTCAATGATTCCAGGGGCAGCTGAATGCTTCTATCATTCTTATGATGGAGTTCAAAATAATAACCACTTCTGGGGAAAGGCTGCGAAAACAAAGTTTTATTCTCATATACGATGCGAAGTGAGCGGCAGCAGCCATTTTGTTATAACTCTAGTGGATTCAGTGAAGACTACGTTAACAAATCTACTAAAATCAAAGAGCTATCCTTTTGAAAAATTATCAATTCTGCATGCTATATCAAATGCATATGATGAATTCAATTCGACTGAGCTACCTCTGGTTGCTCAAATTTTGAGTCATGTAAGTTACAGTAAGAAATATGTTAATTTAGAAGATTTGACCAAAGTTATTAGCAACTTACAAAAAATTGATAAGAATGTGATAGTAGGAAGCAGCACAGATTCAATTTTGAACTATACAGACATCATCATCCAAAACAATATACACAGTTATGATAATTTTTTGAATATCGCAGATGACTTTATTATTGTTGTCAAACATGTTAAGAATGCTGGTTTTAGTGGACTAGTACTCTTAAATGACAAAATACAGATCTTAAATGGTTCTGTAACGACAGAAGATTTATTAAAATTTGAACATTTTTATAGTGCTTTGGTACTTAGCCCAGAACTAAAACAACAGATCGAAGAAGAAACAAATGATACAAAAATTGCAATCAAAGTGTTCCTCAAAAACAGTTTGTTTAATGCTGAAGACAACAACCAAATCAATAGTATAATCTTCGACGTTCTCCTTTCTGACAATATAACGACTTTTAAAGGACCCATTTCAGTTTATCACAGACCAGATAAACAGAAATCTAGAAAAGTGTGCGCTTACTGGTCGTATGACGCGTCCAGAAATGTCTCCGGATTTTGGAAGGAAGACCACGGTGCTAAAAAAGGTTCTCCTTTGATTCAATGCGACTATTTTCAGAGCAGAAATTTTGCTTGCTTTTCTGACCAAAACGTGACGAACAATTTGGATGAAATACTTAAGTCTGATGACCCCCCAAATGAAATTTTGGAAACGCTGACGAACCTTTCGTCTAACTATCACCAATTCAATTCTAAAGATGTTGTTCTTGTCGGTCAGGTTTTCAAAAAGATTAGTGACAGCGACAACGTCAGTTTAGAAAGTTTGAGTGAAGTTGTCAGCAATCTACAAAAAATTGATAGGGCAGTACTGGAAAAAAGTCAAGACAACGATAACGGTACGGATATTATTTTACACTATATTCAGGTCATTATGAAGAACCAGGAATATGTACCTGGCATGCAACCCATAAAAACAGACAACTTTGTTGCCTACATTACCGATTTAAATGATACCAATTTCTGCTCTCTCGTATTATTCGAAAATGGCTCAGTGGGAATTTTGAACAATTCGGTCAAGCCGGAAGATCTTCACAAAAATGTTAGTAGTGCTATAATTTTAACCCCTGAACTGAAAAATCAAATAACAACAGACACCCAAGACACAAAAGTAATAGTCAATGTGTTCTTCAAAGATGTTCTGTTTAACGAAAAAGGGTCCACACAGACCAAACAAGTTAGCAAAATTTTCGACCTGCTCCTTCCAGACTTTTCGGGTAATCTATCGGGACCCATCCAAGTGTTTCACAAACTGGAGGGAACAAACCAAAATTGCTCCCACTGGGACTACAACGTCCCCGCTAACATCTCTGGTTTTTGGCAATTCGACAACAAAGCCTTGGAATTTGGCTCGTTTGTTGTGTGTAAGTTTTGGCACGCAACCCATTTCGCCCAACTCTTTTTCCCTGAAGGTACGTACTCTAAAATTTTGGACTGGTTCACATACGTTACTATTTTGTCTGCAAGCTGCTACACCCTCATCATGGTATTTGCAGTTGTAAATAAATTTTGGAGGAAACGAGTCGAGAATAAAATTTTGTTCAATTTTGTACTGTGTGGGTTATGCTTGACGGTTGCGTTCTACATGTCGAGTGGCTTTTCTGACCGCAGTCTGTGTCTTGTGCTTGGATTTATCTTGCATTATTTTGTTTTGGCACAGTTTTCTTGGATGCTGGTCATCGCCTTTTTCCAGTATCAGCGCTTTGTGCTTATTCTTCCTAGACAGTATACTCATATCGTGCTAAAAACTTGCTTGGTAGGGTGGGTGTGTCCAATCGTCATCCCGGTAACTACTGTTTTAGTTAGTGGTACTGGTTGCTATACGGAAATTGGTGGTCTTTGCTACCTCTCTGGTCTTGAATTATACTTGGCAATTTGGCTTCCCGGTGCTGTTGTTATTGTATCCAACATTATCATTTTCTCTTTCATTGTGTACAAAATTTGTTTTGATAAACTTCCTTTCGTTCGTTTCGGTGGTACCGAAGCTACGTACCACACGCGTCTTTTTATATTTTTGTTTTTTGATTTAGGGTTAATTTGGGTTTTTGGATTTTTCACGAAATTTAATGTGGTACCTGCAGTGATATTTGACATTTTGGTGAGTTCTCAAGGGTGTGTTATATTTCTGTTTTTTGTGATATTGAACAAAAACATTAAACAGGGTCTAAAGCGTAGAAACTAGATGTAACTAGATTTACACAAAGTCCTATTTCTTATAGATGTAAATATATATAGTTTTAAATTGTTTAGACATCTCTGTAGCGTTATTGAATCTTCTTTGTGTCATATACGGCGTGATTAGAAATGACTGAGTCTGTTGGCAATCCTGGATTTTTGTCAGCTGTCAAGATTGACAGATTGTTGACATTTTTAATTTGCAACATATCTGTCACACAATTACTTCCAGTATGCCAACATAACCACAAGAAAAGTTGACAACTTGGTTTAAAAAATACTCAGTCATTTCTGATCACGCGGTACTTGTCAATAAACACACCTTTGTTGATATAGTGTTAATTAAACGTTGTCGACGTTAAAGTGACGTTTTTAGTGGGACAAGCAACCACTAAAATTAATTCGGTCACATTTTAACGTCGAAACAACGTTACATTTTTTTAACGGACCTGTGTAACTTTAACCATTAAATAAAGTCTCATATGCACCCTCTGATCCACTTTCAGCCCATATTTTCCCCGTCGACCTGACTCGCAATGTACACACTCAAAAATAACAACGCCACTTTCCTCAAGTGTTTACCAAATCAAGCCAAGATTATCTCCCCTCGAACCCAGCAACAGTAGCAACCCTGATCCAACAGGTGTCTCCCGAAACCCAAAACCCACAACAACACGGCCTTATCGCGACCATCGGATCCAATCGCTGGAAAACTGTCACGAAATACCATCGGTAAAGGCGCCCTTTGTTCGCGATGCTCCACCAACAATGGGGATGAACTCGTAAGGTTAATAGAGAGATTGAATATCGGCCGATTTGTATCACAATATGTTACATAATAAGGGCAGCGCCTAGGGCTTATCAGATCGCCGTGGAGACCGCAGCTCCCACGCAACTCAACCCCTGTTTAAGGGTGAACAGGTACGTTTGAGCTTGAGGCCGATCAAAGATTCGATATTTTTACGGGGGTTGGTTTGTTTAATTGAAGGATTGAGACAGGTAGGGCGAGGGTGGACGGAAATCGATATGTGGGACACAAGAAGGCGAATATCTGATGTGTGGTGTTTAGATAGTCGAGGTACACAGAGGTACGGTGGGTTGCCTATAGAGTTGTAACAAATTGATTGAATTAAATACTGTAGAGGGTAACGCTCATTAACGTAAACAAAATAGAAACAGTTGTTAGAAAATGGGTCAGTTTTTGCATTAATGGAATCGTGAAATACCACTAGACGGATTAAAGATAGAAATTTCGCAGGAAGCTTTGGTCAGCGAAACCGTATCTCGTCCGGTTTTATCCAAATCAGGATCTGCTGCCGACATTGACTGGTGGCGGTGAAAAAATCCCGCCGGACATCAGCACGGACACTATAATACGCTCCTGCGAAATAAATCGCGCACCGTATTCCTGCGATCATTTTTAAAAGTTTTCTGCCAGCGGCAGTGGTTATTGAAATTATCCTCGTTTTTCAGATTCAGATTTGAGATTTATGTTTTGCGCCCGACTGATCCGTGATGGTGGAGAATGTGTATTGTTCAGTTTTTATTATATTTAAAATTAATCCGCTCTCGGTACGGTTTTCCTCATTTTTTTATTTCCGCGTGGCGCGGGTTTTCAGCTGTGGCCATTGTAAATAAATTATTGCCCTGCAGGAGCCATAAATCAGGAGAGGAGATCAGGATTGTGAGAGGATGTGTGGAAAAATTAATTCTTTGGTTGCTTTGTGGCGCGAACAAAGGGGCTTAATGGGGATAGGTAAGGGAAGGATTGGGATGGATGGATTGTAGGGAATATTCAACGCGAGCGTTAGTAAAGTTTCGAAAAATTAATGACGTTGTTTCGGAATTTTGCTGAGTAATTCTTGATGGAAGTGAAAAGTTGGTCGAAGGTTATTTCGACAAACTTCTTTGAGAAATTATAAAAAAATGGGATTTTTATTTTCTAATAACCGCTATAAAGTAAAAACTAGTGGCGTACATACTTAACAGTTTCTTTAGTTTATCGATTTGCAATTTTTCGATTCGGTTTTAATTTTCTTTATTTTTCCACTTTTTCGGTTTCCCAATTTTCTGATTAAATAATTTTTTCTTTTTAAAATGTTAAATTTTGGGGTTTTCAATTTTAACTTTGTACTTTTTGATTTTCAATTTTTCGATTTTTCAGTTTTCATTTCTTCAGTTTTCGATTTGAATTTTTTGTTTCGGTTTTGTTTTTTTTTGTTTTTTCAATTTTTCAAAGTTTCAGTGTTCTGACTTTTCTTTTTATTAATGCAAGATTTTTCATTTTTGGATTTTTTAATATTTTTGTTTGCTATTTTTCGATTTAAAATTTTTCGATTTTTCAACTTTTAGATGTTTGAATTTTTCGTTTTTTCAGTTTGAGATTATTCAGTTTCTCGATTTTCCAATTTTAAGTTTCTTCAATTTTTGATTGGCAATTTTTCTAGTTTTCAGTTTAAATACTAAATAGTAATAATCATAATTTTTAAAATTTTTCACTTTTTCAGTTTGACAATTTTAGAATTTTTCCAAATTTCAGTTACAAGACTTTAAAACTTTTTCTTTTATTCAAGTTTAAATTTTTCGGTTTTTCAATTTTCCGATTTTTTTGGTTTCTCAAGTTTTCAAATTTTAATTTTTCAATTTTTCGTTTCGGTTTCTTTTTGTTTTCATTTTTTTAATGATTCGATTTTATAATTTTTTCTTTCCCAATTTTAATTCTTCACTTTTTCGATTTGTGATTTTGCTATTTTTCATTTTTTTGTTTTTTCTATTTTTAGATTTTGCAATTTTTCGATTTAAAATTTCTGGAGTTTTCAGTTTTTTCTTTAATTATTTACTTCTTCAAATTTTCGATTTGTAATTTTTGGTTTCGATTTTTTATTTTCTTTATTATTTGTTGTTTTTTCAATTTCAATCTTTTCAATTGTTCCAGTTGCAATCTTTTTAATTCTTCAATTTTACGTATGAGTGTCTTCGAGTTTTCACTTTATAATTTGTCAATTTTTAGATTTTGCAATTCTGGAGTTTTCAATATTTAATTTTTCAGTTTCTAGATTTTTCAATTTTTCATTTCGTTTTATTTTCTTTTTGTTTTTGGTGTTCTGATTTTCAAATTTTTCTTTTTTCATAGTGAAATTTTTCATTTCTTCAATTTTAGATTTTTCAGTTTTTTGTTTCTTTCATTTTTGATTTGCAATTTTTCTAGTTTTTGTTTGAAATATGTACTATTAATTACAATTATAATTTTTCAATTTTCCGATTTTAGAATTTTCCATTTTTCAATCACTAGTTTTTCAATTTTTAATTTTTCAGTTTCTCGATTTTCCACTCTTTCAATTTTGCAATTTGTCGTTTTTTCAGGTTTTCGATTTTTCAAATTTTTTTGATTTTTTAGTTATTTGATTTAAAATTTTTCAGTTTTTCAACTTTTCGAATAAAAAAAATAATAAAAAAAATCCGAAATTGTAAAATTGAAAAATCAAAATGAAAAAACGAAAAAGTATAAAATGAAAACTTTGTAAAATCTAAAAATTATGAAATTGAAAAATCGAAAAATTAAGGAACTGAAATAGAAAATCAAAGATTAAAACTTTGAAAAATTCAGTAAACAAAAAATTGTGTATAGAATCGAGAAAATGAAATAATAAAATGAAAAACAAATGTCAAGAACTTGAAAAATTGAAAAATCCAAAAATTGCAAAAATTGCAAGAAACGAAATATTAAAAAATCTGGAAGTTGAGAAATTGTAGAATTGAAGAAATTTAAAATTTTTCAGTTTTTCTATTTTTCCAATTTATTTTAGTTTCTCAAGTTTTCAAATTTTAATTTTTCAATTTTTCGATTTGCAATTTTTAGTTCCGGTTTTTTATTTTGTTTTTTCAGTTATATTTTTTGAATTTTTCCACTTGCAATTTTTGAATTTTTAATCTATTTTTTTCTTCAATTTTACAGTATGTATCTCAGATTTATTTCAATTTTAAAATTTCTAGTTTTCGATTTTCAAATTTTGGATGTTTCAATTTTTCAAATTTTCATTTCTTCAGTTTTTTAATTTGCAACTTTTTGTTTCGGTTTTTTATTTTCTTAATTTTTTTCTCTTTTTTAATGTTCCAAATTTTCTTTTTCATTGTAAAATTTTTCAATTTTTTGTTTCTTAGTGTTCATTTTAAATATGTAGTATTAATTATAATTTTTCAATTTTCCGGTTTTAGATTTTTTCCATTTTTTAATCACTAGATTTTAAAACCTTTTCATTTATTCGATTTTTCAGCTTTTCGATTTTTAATTTTTCAATTTCTCGATATTTACTTTTTTTTAATTTTTATTTATTTTTCAATGTTACAGTTTCGATTGGCTTCGTTTTTTTTCTTTCCAATTTTTCGATTCATTAATTTTTTTCGATTTTTAATTTTTCAATGTTTCAAATTTTCGTTTCTGCAATTCTTCGATTTAAAATTTTTAGATTTTTCAACTTTTCGAATAAAAAAATTAAAAAATTCCGGAACAGTAAAACTGAAAAATCAAAAATGAAAAAACGTAAAATGAAAAATGCAAAAAGGAAAAAGTATGAAATGAAAATTTTGTAAAATCTAAAAATTATGAATTTGAAAAACTGAAAAATCGAAAAACATTAAAAACTAAGAAACTTAAAGATTAAAAAAATGCAAAATTGAAAAAACGACCAGTATTGTAAAATCAAAATATAGTAAATTAAAGAAATGGCAAAATCGAGTAATGGAAAACCAAAAATTGTAAAACCGAAAAAACTAAAAATTGGAAAATTATTTATATGTATTTAAAACTTTTTCATTTATTCATGTTTAAATTTTTCAGTTTTTCAATTTTCCAATTTTTCGATTTTTCAATTCAAGATTGAAACTTTGAAAAATTGAGTAAACAAAAAATTGTGTATAGAATCGAGAAAATGAAAATAAGAAATGGAGAAAATGAAAAATAAATATCAAGAAAAATTGAAAAATCCAAAAATTAAAAACCGAAAAACTAAAAAATCAAAAAATCAAAAATTATGATGACCAAAAATTGCAAAATTGGAAAATTGCAAGAAATGAAAAATTGAAAAATTTGGAAGTTGCGAAATTGAAAAATTGAAGAAATTTCAAAATTTTCAGTTTATCTATTTTCCAATTTTTTCAGTTTCTCAAGTTTTCAAATTTTAATTTTTCAATTTTTCGTTCAGGTTTTTTTACTGTCTTTATTTTTTCACTTATTCGATTTTTCAATGTTTCAATTTTATAATTTTTCATTTCTCAGTTTTTTCCATTTTTAGATTTTGCAATTTTTCAATTTTTTAATTTTTCACTTCTTCAAACTTCAATTTGCAATTTTTGGTTTACGTGTTTTATTTTCTTTATTGTTATTTGTTCATATTTATTTAATCTCTTCAAGTTTTCAGTTTTCTAACTTATGAATGTTTCAGTTTTTAGATTTTGCAATGTTCTGATTTGCAATTTCACAAATTTTCAACATTTAATTTTTCAATTTCTACATTTTTCAATTTTTCATTTTTTTCCTATTTCAGTGTTCTGGTTTTCCAAGTTTTCTTTTTTCATTGTCAAAATTTTCAATTTTTTGATTTGCAATTTTTCCGTTTCGAATTTTTCATTTTTCAATTTTATAATTTTTAGTTTCTCGATTTTTCAATTTTTTGTTTCTTCCATTTTTATTTGCAAGTTTTCTAGTTTTCGTTTTAAATATTAGTATTAATTATAATTATAATTTTTCAATTTTCCGATTTTAGAATTTTTCCATTTTTCAATCACTGGATTTTAAAACTCTTTCATTTATTCGATTTTTCAGTTTTTCGATTTTTAATTTTTCTATTTTTCTATTTTTCAGTGTTACCGTTTTTCCATTGGATTCGTTTTTTCTTCTTTCCAATTTTAAGTTTCTCGATTTTTAGTTTTTCAGTGTTTCAGTTTTTCATTTATTCAATTCTTCAATTTACAGTTTTTCGATTTTGTAATTTTCGTTTTTTCAGTTTTTCGATTTTTCATATTTTTCCGATCCTTAATTTTTCGATTTAAAATTGTTCGGTTTTTCAACTTTTCGAATAAAAAAAATGGAAAAATTGCAAAACTGTGAAATTGAAAAACCAAAAATGAAAAAACAAACAGTATATAAAATGAAAACTTAGAAAAATTTAAAAACCATGAACTTAAAAAATTGAAACAACGAAAAACATTAAAAACTAGAAAACTTAAAAATCGAAAAAGTGCAAAATCAAAAAAAAAAGAAACATGTAAAATTGAAATAATGAAAATTAAAGATCTAAAAATTGCAAAAATAAAAAAAATAGAAAATTAAGGAATTAAAATAAAAAACCAAAAATTGAAACTTCGAAAAATTGAGGAAACAATGAAAAATTGTGATATCAAAAAATTGGTCGAAGGTACATAAACCCAGATTTTTTGGAAAATTATGACTTGACTTTAGGAATTTAATTTTTTTCTATGATAACTTTTATATGGTAAAATAAAGGTATGTATGTAATGTTAAAGTAAATATACCTAAGTGAGTTTTCTATTCAAAATTTTGTGATGACGTCATCGATATTTTCGCAAAGAGACGTATATTATCAGTCTGGACAGATGCAATGTAATAATAATAATAAGAATACTGATTTTCAAATTTTCGGAAAAATGGAGTGCGTTGTTCTTGATTTAATTAATAAAATAAACTACCGCCTTCATTAATTTTTTGACTCACCCTGTATAAATAATTCTAAAAACTCATTGCATTGATTAACCACAAGTATAGAGTTACAATTTTTGCATATTTCAGAGAGGATTTAATAAGCAAAATTTTGAAATGACGTCATCAATTTTTGGGAGAGGATAAACGACTAAATTTTGATTAATAATTTACCGTGATTACGACAACCTTAAAACGTTTGCAAGAATTCAGAGTATTCGGATTTGCAGTTTAAAATTAAATTGGAAAATGCTAACAGACAGACAGACTGACAGACGACAGACATACGGAAACGGGAGACCACTTTTAACTTACGCTCCGGAAGTAAAAACAGAATTATTGTGTCTTCATATTTTCCTTCACAGACTGTTTATATCTGTTAGGAAGAATTACGTCAACTTTCAAGAATGTAAATTTTGTTTTACAATGGAAATTGATTATTTGATTAACCACAATGAAAGCCCGACTATTATTTCTTATTATTCGCAGTGACTTAAGTATAGCATTGGAGTTCTTGTGCCTTATAATTAATTTCTACATGATGCACGAGAATCCGCTATATTGGGTATATAAACGGAAATCCAATCAAACAAGCACAAGTCTGAAAAGAAAAGAACGACGATGAAATGTGTTGTAAGTACCGACATTAATTTTATTAAAATTAATTATATGCTCAAAATGAGATAATTTTAATTTATTTATTTTAGCTTCTCTTAGTAGTAGCCTTTGGAGCGGTTGCCTACTCTCAGTACCCCCTCCCTTACAACGTCCCCAATTTCCCCAACCGCAACTTCAGACCCCCCGGTCCTGGTAACATAGTGGAGGGCAGCTACACCTTCATCGACCCCAATGGTAAAAAACAGACCGTCCGTTACTCCTCTGATGGTCAAAACGGCTTCACCACCGTCGTCCAACAACCAACGGAACCCCCTAAACCCAAAACCAAGAAGAAGGACAAAAAGAAGGACGATAAAGACGACGATAAGAACCAAGATAGCACCACCACTGCGTCTCCCGATGAAGACGGCACAACCGAAGAACCAAAAAGCAGTGACAAAGAAGACGAAAAAGAAGACAAAAAGGAAGATCCCGAAAAAAACGTGCGTTATGTTCCTGTTCCCGTTTACCCTCCAGTTCTGGGGAGTCGGTCCGCTTTTCCATCCCAGCCACCCTTTGCGCCCTACGGTAATTTTCTCCCTCGTACCCCTTACGCTTTTTCTTCCGGTTTTGGTTTTGGACGCTAGAAAAATGAAGAACGCCAAAAACAACTAAATAAATCTTGTTTTTCAAATTTAATTGGACTTTTTTTCAACTGAAAATCAAATTCGTGATAAACTTGTTGCTACTAAAACAGAGATAAGACTTATGCAAAACTATTGTGGTTTTTAAAAATATTTATTTAAGAGTGTGATAAAGCTGACCCCCAGTCGGAAGTCTTAAGGGAAGGCGAATGACTCCCAGTATCAGCTTTCGCGTTTTTTCTTTATTCCAATTTTTCGATTCATTTCTCGGTTTTTAGTATTTTAATGTTTCAAATTTTCGTTTCTTCAATTTTTCTATTCGCAATTTTTCGCTTCGGTTTTTTCTTTTCTTTTCTTCTTTATTTTTACAATGTTTCGATTTTGCATTTTTCCATATTGCAGTTTCATGAGGTTTTAATTTTTTCTCAATTTTCAGATTTTTCAATTTTTCCGTTCTTCAATATTTCTTCATTTTTTTAATTTGCAATTTTTGTTTCAGATTTCTATTTTCTTTATTTTTTCAATTGTTTGGTTTTTCAGTTCGGATTTTCTAATTTTTCTTTTTTTCAGTGTGGAATTTTTCAGTTTTTAAGACGTTCTCATTTATTCGATTTTTCAATTGTTCGAATTTTAATTTTTCACTTTTTCGATTTTTCAATGTTTTTCAACTTTACAATTTTGACGATTCTATAATTTTTCGATTTTACAATTTTTAGGCTTTCAATTTTTCGCTTTCGCGTTTTTTCTCCATTCCAATTTTTCTTTTCACATCTCGGTTTTTAGTATTTCAATCTTTCAAATTTTTATTGCTTCAGTTCTTCGATTCGCAATTTTTCGTTTCGGTTTCTTCTTTTTTTTACAGTTTTAATTTTTTTAATTTTCAGACTTGTTCATTTATTCGATTTTTCGACATTTCAATGTTTTTCGACTTTACAATTTTGACAATTCTATAATTTTTCGATTTTACAGTTTTTGGGTTTTTCAATTATTCAGTGTTTCAAATTTTCGTTTCTTCAGTTCTTCGATAGGCAATTTTTCGTTTCGGTTTTCTGATTTTATAATTTTTGTCTTTTATTAAATTCAGTTTTTTCAATTTTTCATTTCTTAGTTTTTCGATTCGCAATTTTCCAATTGTTTATATTTTTTTTCAATTTTACGATATGCATCTCCTCGAGTTTTCATTTTTAAATTTTTCAGTTTTTCGATTTTGCAACTTTTGGATATTTCAATTTTCAGATTTTTCAATTTCACGAGTTTTTAATTTCTCAATTTTTAGATTTTTCAATTTTTCATTTCTTCAATTTTTCAATTTGCAATTTTTCATTTCGGATTTTTATTTTCTTTACTCTTTCAATTTATCGGTTTTTCAATGCTCTGATTTTCTAATTTTTCTGATTTTCAGTGTGAAAATGTTCAGTTTTTGAATTTTCAACTTACAAATTTTTTAAGTTTTCGTGTTTTTAATTTTCACTTTTTCATTTGTTCGATTTTTCGATTGTTCGAATTTCAATTGTTCAGTTTACTTGATATTTAATTTTTTCGTTTATCGATCTTTCAATGTTTTTTGACTTTACACTATTGACGATTCTATAATTTTTCGATTTTACAATTTTTGGGTTTTTCGATTATTCGCTTTCGTGTTTTTTCTTCATTCCAATTTTTCTACTCATTTCTCGGTTTTTAGTATTTCGATGTTTCATATTTTCGTTTCTTTAGTTCTTCGATACCCAATTTTTCGTTTCGGTTTTCTGATTTTATAATTTTTGTCTTTTATTAAATTCAGTTTTTTCAATTTTTCATTTATTAGTTTTTCGATTCGCAATTTTCCAATTGTTTACATTTTTTTCAAATTTACGATATGCATCTCCTCGTGTTTTCATTTTTAAATTTTTCAGTTTTCCGATTTTCCAACTTTTGGATATTTCAATATTCAGATTTTGTAATTTCACGAGTTTTTAATTTCTCAATTTTTAGATATTTCAATTTTTCATTTCTTCAATTTTTCGATTTGCAATCTTTCATTTCGGATTTTTATTTTCTTTACTGTTTCAATTTATCGGTTTTTCAATGCTCTGATTTTCTAATTTTTCTGATTTTCAGTGTGAAAATGTTCAGTTTTTGAATTTTCAACTTTTAAATTTTTTAAGTTTTCGATCTTTTAATTTTCAGAATTGTTCATTTATACGATTTTTCAATTTTCCGATATTTCAATGTTTTTCGACTTTACAGTTTTGACAATTCTATAATTTTTCGATTTTACAATTTTTGGGTTTTTCACTTATTCGCTTTCGCGTTTTTTCTTCATATCAATTTTTCTACTCATTTCTCGATTTTTAGTATTTTCATTTCTTAGTTTTTCGATTGGCAATTTTCCAATTGTTTATATTTTTTTCAATTTTACGATATGCATCTAATCGAGTTTTCATTCTTAAATTTTTCAGTTTTTCGATTTTCCAACTTTTGGATATTTCAATTTTCAGATTTTGCAATTTCACGACTTTTTAATTTCTCAATTTTTCGATTTTTCAATTTTTCATTTCTTCAATTTTTCGATTTGCAATTCTTCATTTCGGATTTTTATTTACTTTACTTTTTCAATTTATCGGTTTTTCAATGTTCTAATTTTCTAATTTTTGTGATTTTCAGTGTGAAAATGTTCAGTTTTTGAATTTTCAACTTTTAAATTTTTTAAGTTTTCGTTTTTTTAATTTTCAGACTTTTTCATTTATTCGATTTTTCGATTGTTCGAATTTCAATTGTTCAGTTTTCTTGATATTTAATTTTTCAATTTTTCGATCTTTCAATGTTTTTTAACTATTAACGATTCTATAATTTTTCGATTTTACAATTTTTGGGTTTCCGTTTTTTCGCTTTCGCTTTTTTCTTCACTCCAATTTTCCTATTCATTTCTTGGTGTTTGGTATTCCAATGTTTCAAATTTTCGTTTCTTCATTTCTTCGATTTGTAACTTTTCTATTTTACACTTTATGGATTTAGCAATTTTTCGTTTTTTCAACCTTCCAGTTTTTCATTTTTTTCAGATTTTTTCAACTTTTCGATTCAAAAAATGAAAAAACTGCAAAATTATAAAATTGACAAACGAAAAACAATAAAGTGAAAAGAGACAAATCTAAAAACTGAAAATCAAGAATTTCAAAAATTGAGGAACTAAAAAATTGAAAAATCGGAAGATTAAAAATTGAACAACTTAAAAATAGAGAGGATAAACGAATAAATTACCGTTTACCATGACTACATAACCTTAAAACGTTTACAGAATTTCAGTGCGTTCAATTGAGAAGTTTCATAGTTAAATTGTTAAATTGCAAAATGTTGCTACACAATTTTAATTTTTTTTTTCCAAAAATTTGGATGTCTGGGGTGAAAACTCAACACAGATTCATACATCACAAGTGGAGGAGAATCTTATTTCATAAAAATAAAATCAAATTTACTATGTAGGTAATGTAAATTTTGGAAAAAACGTCATTAAGTTGTTGGTGGGGATTATTAGCCAATTTTTGTTTGGCGTTTTACCACTTGCATACAAAATTTGACTACAGTCGGTCCAGTAGCTTCGAAAATTAATAAAAAATAATAAATTATTAATAATAAATAAAAATCCGGATAGACCTTGGCTTACGTCCGGAAAGTAAAAAAATATAAGATACAGGGGATCCCAAAGTGTCCGACACATATTAAAAAAAAACACATTTCAAACCAATTGCTTTGATGTGTTAATTAATAAGGAATACATTTGAATTTAAATTAATTTATAATATATAAGTATTCTTAACTCAAACAAAACAAAATAATCTATGATTTGGATGAAGAAGAGTCAAGATTTAATTTCTTCGAGAAATTTATTGTACCAATAAATAAAATAAAGTGTCTTCGCCTAAACCAGTTTATAACAACAACAAACTCATATTTCACTATCCACAAAGCCATATTTCATAAAAACCACACGTATTTGGGTAGACCAGCACCAGTTGTCGCTCCAGAAATTTGCGAAACCTCCAAATGTCGCCGAAACCGGAACCTTGAAATAATAGCAAAATGCAATCAAGATAATGCAATAATAAAAAATGCCCGAAATTTGACTCGTTTTACAAGAATGTCCCTTACAACACAAAACCACACCCTCCCCAAAATTGAGTATAAAAACTGACCACTGCATACAGAAAGCACACTCAAACCAAAAACCATCAAACAATCAACGAAATGGCATTCAAAGTAAGTACACCACCAACCACCAAAAACATTCCTAATCGTTTCTAATTACAGCTCGTCGTCTTCTCCACCCTCTTGGCTCTCGCTCGTGCCGGTGGCTTGGGTTACGCCTCGTACGCCGCTCCCGCCATCGCTTCATACGCCGCCCCTGCCGTAGCCGCATACCACGCCGCTCCCGCCGTAGCCGCATACCACGCCGCCCCCGCCGTAGCCGCCTACCACGCTCCCGCTGTAGCCGCCTACCACGCTCCCGCTGTAGCCGCCTACCACGCTCCCGCTGTAGCCGCCGTAGCCGCCCCCGTCGCCAAGGCCGTGGTTGCTGAGACCTACGCCCCCGCCCACTACGACTTCGGCTACGCCGTCAACGACCCCCACACCGGAGACGTCAAGAGCCAGCATGAATCTCGTCGTGGAGATGTCGTCCAAGGAAGCTATTCGTTGATTGATTCTGATGGCACAAAACGTACCGTCGATTACGCCGCCGATCCCCTCAACGGATTCAACGCCGTCGTCCACAAGGAACCCCTCGCCGCCCCCGTCGCCGTCGCCCCAGTCGCCAGAGTAGCCGCCCCCGTCGCCGTCGCCGCTCCCGTAGCCAGGATCGCCGCTCCCGTCGCCAGAGTCGCCGTGGCTGCCCCCGTAGCTAGAATCGCCGCTCCCGTCGCCGTCGCTGCCCCCGTAGCTAGAATCGCCGCTCCCGTCGCCAGAGTCGCCGTAGCCGCTCCCGTCGCCAGAGTCGCCGTCGCCGCCCCCGTCGCCAGGATCGCCGCCCCAGTAGCTAGAATCGCCGCTCCCGCCGTCGGTTTGGGCTACAGCGGATTGGGAGTCAGTGGATTGGGATACAGCGGTTTGGGATACAGCGGTTTGGGATACGCCGGCGGTTTGGGATACTCTGGCCGTTTGGGATACGCCGGCGGTTTGGGATACTCCGCCGGTTTGGGATACTCCACCGGCTTGGGATACTCCAGCGGTTTGGGTTACTCCAAAGCTCTTCTCTAAATTATGAGACTGATCTTTGTTGTACATAGTTATTGATTTTTAAGTAATCTGACGATTATATAATTAAATAATATAAATAAAAAATTTAAAAATAGCACCTGTTTTTATGAATAAATTCAAATGAGGTATTTACGATGCCTCCGACCGAGAGTTGCCCAATTTATCAACCGGTCCGATTAAAAAGTGACACAGTTTTCGGTATGTGGCAAACCGAATTTTAAACGATCTCAATGATCCATAAATTTCGTATAATGTCAATGTCGAAAATCGAATCAGCGAGATTTCGACCGAAAAACATTCTTCCTTACCAATTTTGAAGAATTGAGTAATGGAAAATGTGTTAAGTGGACAGCCTAATAAAGAGGTTGGTATAAACGTGGGTATTATAAATCACACGAAGGAAAAAATAACAGGTATTAATTCACTACTTCAGGTGCAGAAAAAATTATACGGTTTCGTATTTAGTTTTATTGTTTAGTGTTTGTATTTTTATGATTTGAAATTTTTGAAATCTGTATCTTGTTTCATGCATCTTCAGGAAATGCTGAATGCTACAGTTTCTTAATTCTTTGTATTTTTTTTTTTTATTATTATTCGATAAATTGAATTTTAAATGAGACTCTATTTTAGCAAAGGTGACGTTCTAGATCAGGTTTTGGGGTTTCAAGAGGCAAGCAGTGGTCTGATTGTTGGCCTTTCAATTTCAGAAATTTGTCATAAAATTAATTAATGAAACGTTAAAAAATTGAAATAATTTTGTCACTAGTTCTAAATTCTTAAAACAAGATGCTAAGTGTCCCAGATTCTCGAAATTTGTTCAAATAAGGACACTAACTACCGGTAGATTCTTTCAAAAATAAAATACCAAGTGCCTCCCAAATTCTTCCAAATTATATATTTCAAACATAAACTGTCAATTCTCACAAAAAATAAAACGCTAGATCCACAAAATTGTTAAATTCTTTCAAAGAAAAATTTCTCAGAATTTTTACAAGACGCTAAGGGTCAAATTCCTTCAAAAATAAAAACACCAGGGCTCCCAAAATTCTTAAATTCTTTTAAAATGCTAAAGACCTCAAGATTCTTTCAATTTTTTAAAAACAACACTGGAAATCCCCAAGATTCGTTCAAATTTTTTTGAAGAACAAAAAAAACTTGAAACCCTGAGGTACTTTCAGATTCTACAAAAATAAAACATTAGGAGTTCTCAAAATTCTTTCAAAAACAAGGTCATTAGAGAAACCAAAATTCTTTCAAATCCTTTAATAGGAATCCCAAGATTCTTTCAACTTTTTTAAATAAAGACACAAAGGACCGGAAAATTCTTTCAAATTCGTTCAAAAATATTGACAACTTCTTAAATGAAAGCACTAAGACTTCCAGGATTCTTAAATTCTTTGAAAAACTAACTGATCGCAAGATTCTTCCAAATTTGAAAGAAACACTACCCGTCTCAAAATTCTTAAATTCTTTTAAAATCAAACACGCAAGAGACCTCACGATTCTTTCAAATGCTTAAAACCAACAATAGAAATCTCCAAGATTCTTTCAAATATTTTCAAGAAAAAGAACAGGAGTCCTCAAAATTCTTTCAAAAACAAATTCATTAGGAAAACCAACATTTTTTCAAATTCTTTATTTAAATAAAGACAAAAAATTGAAGATTCTTTCAAATTCGTTCAAAAATATTGTCAATTTCTTAAAGGAAAGCAATAACGCCACCAAGATACTTAAATTCTTTCAAAAATTAAGACACCACGAGCCTAAAATTCTTTCAAATTGTTTCAAGATTTTTTCAAATTTCCTGGATAAAGACACTAGGGAATGGAAGATTCTTTCCAATTCCTTCAAAAATAAAACACCAAGCATCCCAAGATTCTTACATTCTTTTAAAATGAGATGCAAAAAACCTGACGATTCTTTCAAATTTTTAAAAACAACAATAAAAATTCCCAAGATTATTTAAAATTTTTCAAAAACAAAAAAACTTGAAACGTCGAGTTACTTTCAAATTCTTACAAAATTAAAACACCAAGAGTCCTCAAGGTTCTTTCAAAAACAAAGACATTAGAAAAACTAAGATTTTTTCAAATTTCTTAAATAAAAACACAAAGAGCACGAAGATTCTTTCAAATTCATTCGAAATTGTTGGCAATTTCTCACAACGCCCCCAAGATTCTTAAATTCTTTCAAAAACCAAGACACCAACTGCTCAAAGGTTCTTTCAAATTCTTAAAGAAGAAACACTCGGTTTCTAAAATTTTATCAAATTCTTAAAAAACACTAAAAACCCAGAATTCATCCAATTTTTTCGAGAACAAAAACATTACAAACTCCAAGAATCTTTACAATTCTTTCAAAAACAAGCACACTGGGGAAATTAAATCAAAAATCTTTCAAATTCTTAAAAGAAGACTAGGTCTCTCAAGATTCTTTCAAATTCTTGGAAACACAAAACGCTAACGATCTCTTTTAGATTTTCTATTTTTTTAAAATGAACGCCAAAACTTCGACAAAATTTTTGAAAGTTCTTCAATAAACACTAAAATTTCAAGATTCTTTCAAAGTCTTTCATAAACAAAGATACTAGTTGTCCCAATATTCTTTCAAATTCGTAAAGAAACACCACGTATCTCAAAATTATTTCAGATTTTTTAAATTAAGAGACTAGGAACCGGAAGATTCTTTCAAATTTCTTAAAAAAACACCACGAGTTTCCAATATTCTTTCAAAAAACATTCTCAAATTCTTTCAAACCGAAAACCTCTAAATTCTTAAAACGCTAAGCGTTCCACGATCGTTCAAAATTTGGTAAGCCGAGGCACTAGGAACCGGAAAATTCTTTTAAATTCGTTCAAAAATGTTTGAAACTCCTTAAATGAAAGTATTAGGGCGCCCAAGATTCTAAAATTCTTTCAAAAACGAAAACACCACGAGCTCAAAAACTCTTTCAAATTCTTAACACAGTCGAAATTCCCAGAATCCTTTCAATTTTTCAAGAACAAAAACACCACTAACTCCAAGAAACTTTTTGAACTCTTTCCATAAAACAAGGATACGCAGGAAAAAATTTCAAATTCTTCATCATGATTCTCATCATTTTTTCAAATTCTTTCAAGAAACTACGAAAATTCTATCAAATATAAAATACCAAGGCCCACAAGATTTTTGCATCTTCTTAAAAAAAATAGAGAACACAAAAGTTTTTTCAAATTTTTAAAAAGCAACATTCGGTTTCTAAAAATTCTATCAAATTCTTAAAAACACTAAAAATTCTCAGAATTTATTAAATTTTTTTCACACCACAAACTCCAAGAATCTTTTCAAATTTTTCAAAAACAAGAACACTGGGGAAATCAAATCAAAAACCTTTCAAATTCTTAAAAAAGACCACAGGTCTCCCCAGATCTCGAAGACTTTCTTTCTAGCTTCTTACAATAAACACCACAAGATTTTTGAAAGTTCTTAAAAAAATACAAGATTTTTTCAAATTCTTAAAAAAAAAGACACTAGATGTCCCAAAATTCCTTCGAATTCGTAAAGAAACATCACGCAAGATTATTTACAGAATTTTTAAATAAAGACACAAGGGACCGGAAGATTTTTTTGAAATTCCTCAAAAGAACACCAAGAGCTTCCAAAATTCTTTCAAATTATTTCAAACATAAACTTCCAAATTCTTACAAAAAAAAAACACCAGTTGTCCCCAATATTCTTAAATTTTTTCAAACCCAGATTTTTAAAACAAGACGCTAAGCGTTCCAGGTTTGTTCAAAATTTCTTAGAGGCACTAAGAACCGGAAAATGCTTTCAAATTCGTTGAAAATTTTTTGAAACTCCTTAAAAGGAAACACTTAAATTCTTTCAAAAACGAAAACCCACGGGCTCAAAGATGCTTTCAAATTCTTAAAAACACTAAAAATTCCCAGAATCCTCTCAATTTTTCAGAAAAAAAGGCTACTAAATCCAAGAATCTTTTTGAATTCTCAAAAAAACAGGGACACTAAAATGAAAAAAATTAGAAAAAATGTAAAATCGGGAAAATTAAATCGAAATATTGAAAAGTTCTAAACCGAAACATGGTAAAATCGTTGTACAAAATTTAAAACCGAAAAATTGGAAAATCTAAAAACTAAAATTTGAGAAACTGAAAATATGAAAATGTGATAATTCGGAAAATAGTAAATACGAAAAATTGTTTAATCAAAAAAACTAAGACCGAATAACCACAACGGAAAAAATTAAAAGAAAGTGAATAATTGAAAAATTATTGAAAGGAAAATTTAAAATACCAAAAAGTAAGATCGAAAAATTGCAAGTCGAAAAATTGAAGAAACGAAAAGTTGGGAAAACCTAAAATGAAAAATTGAGAAACTGAAAAACTAAAATGTGAAAAATAAACAAATTAGAAAAATTGTAAAATCGAGAACAGAAAATCGAAAAATTGCAAACTCAAAACTGAAAAAAGAAAGTTAAAAAATCGAGAAATTGATATATGGACAAGTTAAAAAACCAAATATTTGAAAATGAAAAATTGAAAAAAAAAGAAACGAAAAATCGAGAAGTTGAAAATTCGCAGATTATAAAATCGAAAAATTGTGGTTCAAATATGTAAATAAAAATTCAAACAACGGAAAAAACAAAAATTAAAATATGTGGGTACCTAAAAATCGAAAAAGAAAAAATTTAAAAACAAAAAATTGAAAAATCTAAAAATTTAAATTTAAGAAACTGAAATAGCGAAAATGTGGAAATTCGGAAAATAGTAAATACGAAAAATTGTATAATCGAAAAAAGTTCTTACTTTTTCCATTTGCGAAAAACCGCAAATGGAAAAATTTTAAAATAAAAATTGTGAATAATAAATTGGAAAACTGAGAAATTGAAAAATCGTGAATATTAAAAATTGAGAATATGAACAATCGAAAATGTAAAAAATCGATAAATTAAAAAAAAAACTGAAAGATCGAAAAATTGTAAAAGTGAAAAATTGTAAATATGAAATATTGAAAATTTTCAAATTTGAAAAATTCGAAAACTTTGAATAAACAAAAAATTGTAAAATTGAAAATTTACAAAATCGAAAAGTCTAAAAATTTAAGTCCGAAAAATTTAAATTTTTCAAAATTGAAAAATTCGAAAAAATTTGGATAAACAAAAAATAATTGTAAAATTGAAAAAATACAAAATCGAAAAATTGAAAAATCTAAAAATTTTAATTTAAGAAACTGAAATAGCGAAAATGTGGAAATTCGGAAAATAGTATATACGGAAGAAGAACACTTAAATTCTTTCAAAAACGAAAAATTCTTTCAAATTCGTTGAAAAATTTTTGAAATTTCTTAAAAGAAAGCACTAGGACGTCCAAGATTCTTAAATTCTTTCAAAAACGAAAACACCACGGGCTCAAAGATTCTTTCAAATTTTTAAAAACACAAAAAATTCCCAGTATCCTTTCAATTTTTCAAGAACAAAACACTGCTAAATCCAAGAAACTTTTTGAATTTTTTCAAAAACAGGGGCACTGTTCTTAACAAAAATAGGGAACATAAAAATTCTGAAAAAAGAAATTCACTAGTTCAGAAAAAAAAATGGTTTTATATTTTCAGTCGGAATCAAATACATACAACTTTTTAAAGACTTAAAAAGTTTCTATACCTTGTTTCATAGCATAGGAATGTTTAAAGCTACAATTTCATCACCCTTTGTTTTTTTTATTTTTATATTTAAAACTACTTCCTTATTAACAACTTGAACTTTAAATGAGGCCCTCTTTTCCAAATTTAAAAAAATTAATAAATCGAAAGTAGCAACGATTTTTCAAACGGTCCGAAAAAATACGAAATTTTTTTTATTTGTTTGTATCGTTATTTTCGCTATTCAAATTAACAATAAATATCTATTTTATAGCCCCGAAAAACTTTAATCGCCACCAGTATTAGAAAACTGATCCACTTTTTAATCTGCCACTGCAGTCCAACCAGTTCCTTCCTACACATAACATCACAAACCCATTATCAATCGTTAATATATTTATAGCTCCACATTTTGCAACCAGACACGACATTCCTCACCATTTCTAAAAATCTTTCCGTCTTTAACACAACAAAACCAAAAAATATACAAAAACAGTACTTTATTGAATAACACTATACTGACCATGCAAATAAAACAATAAAACTGACCACACAACTTTAAATCACAAAATTTATTACAAACCTACAACAACAAATAACTTAAACTTGCAACAACTCATTACTTAAGTCATCCCCACCCCGATTCGGGTACACCCTCTTCACCACCGCGTTAAACCCTCGAACAGGATCAGCGAAGTACTCCACGATCCTCCTGCTCCCATCGGCCTCCACAAACTCGTACCTCCCTTTAACCACATCCCCCTGCCTGGACTCCTGCTGGCTTTTAGCATCCCCGGAGTGCGGATCCCGCACTACGTAGTTATAGTCGTAGTTGGGTACCGCCGTGGGTTGGGGTAGGATCGCCTGGGTGATTTTTTCCTGCGCTGGGGATGGTAGTGGCAGCTGGACCCTCTTGAAGGATAACGAAAATGGTACCGATGGGGCACTCTGGGCCAGAGAGGTCCCAATAATGGCAACTATGATGAGACTCTGCCAAAAATCGCGTTTCAGGTGACTAAGAACTAGGTGACAAAAAAATATCGAGACTTTGTCGGCTGTTAAAATATGCAAACTAAGTCTGTCGCTAGCTCTTAGTCAATTACTTAAGTAGGTTACTTACTCTAGCTGCCATGCCTAAGTCGGATGTGCGCGTGCATGTCGCGCTTCTATATATACCGGCCAGAGGTGTGTCTTCACGTGAAATCTCGCTCCGCAGTTAAATAACATTTTTTTAATTAATTGCGATTATGTGGGTACGAGAGCAACAAACTTGTTTGCTTGTTGCACTGGATGACATAAGTGTTTTTTGTGGGAGAGCACAGCGGGTTTTGCTCATTTTTATAATGTGTGTTAGTGGGAGGATGGACGGCTGACGTAAAAGTGCCGACGGTTTCGAGGTTTCTTCCGACAGGAAATTTTTTAAGTGCATGCCGAAATTTGCGGAACTTGGACGGATTTATGGCGGAGGAATGGGTTTCTGGGTGGGTTTTAATGGATAGGTGAGGTTGTAACGCGTTTTAGGAGACGCGAGAAATGTGCGACAAATAGGGTTAGTGGAGAATGTGCACATTATTTCGTTTATTTTGTAAGAGTTCTGGCTTTGGCGGTGTGATAACTTGGGGAATTTTTTAAGCCAGTTACCTGTTTCGGTCAGTCGTGTTCTTTTTGCGGAGAGGCTGAGCACTTTTACTTCGATCTTGCGAATTTATTGATCTTTGTTTTTTCAAAATTTGGTACCGGTTTTGGGTGGTTGTTTTGTAAGTGCTAATGCTAGCTTATGACTTAATTAAGCGAAAATAAAATAAAAAATATTAAGAAGTTAATTAAGTAAGGGCGTTTTTATTTTCGTAGTTATAAAAGTATTGAGCTAATTATTCTTGTTGCCATGCAATTATACTCTAATTTTAACTGCTCTCACAACTACCATTAAATTTATAGCGTTACCAAAAAACCCATTAACTCACTTTTATAGTCTCGTATAAACTACTTTCGGCAACTTTTCCAAAACCAAAATTTTTTAATACTTCCCCTACGAAAATTTTGGCCAATTTTCCAAAATTTTCGACATTTAACCAAAGACATTTTCTTTGGTCAAATTGGTCCTATCATTTTTCGAAAATTGTCCACTAAATTATTCCAATTTTTTTGGAATTGAAAAAAAAATTGTTTTCAAACAAAATATTTTTATGTCTTGCACTAGGAGCATGAAAACGCCGTTTTTGGAATCAACACGAACAATTTCTGAATTTTTTGGGATTTTTTTTGGTTAATTTTTTCAAAAGCAAAATTTTTTAAAATTTTGACCGATTTTTGACAATTTAACTAAATTTTTTTTTTATAGATTTCGACTTCCAGAAGTTAGTTTAGACCTCATTTCTTCGGTGTCTCCTACCATTTTTCCAGAATTGCCCATTGAACTATTGCAATTTTTTAAACTTGAAAAAAAAAATTTTTCAAACAAAATGTTTTTAAATGTTACACCAGCAGCATCATAAAAACACTGTTTTTAGGAATCAACACGAGAAATTCTATATCCCTGAATTTTTTGGGATTTTTTTGCTACACTTTCAAAAGCAAAATTTTTAGACAATTTTCGAAATTTAACAAAAAACATTTTCTAATAAATTACGACCTCAGAAGTTAGTTTCGACATCTTTTCTTCGATAGCTCCTACCACTTTTGTAGATTCGCCCAATATTGCAATTTTTTTGGACAAAAAAAATCAAATGAAATATTTTAAATTTTGCAGCGCTATATTTTTTGAATCAGCACAACGAACTCTATATGCCAGAATTTCTAGGGAACTTTTTGTCAACTTTTTCAACAACAAAATATTTCAGTACCCTGAATAACTGAAAAATATAAAAATTAAAAATTGAAAATCTGAAAAATCAATAAATGCAAAAACCAAAAAACTGAAAAATCGAAAATACGAAATCTTGTAAAACTGAAAAATCGTGAATACTTACGAAAAATCGAAACATTCGAAAAAATTTGGATAAACAAAAAATTGTAAAATTGAAAAATTACAAAATCGAAAAATTGAAAAATTCCAAAATTCAAATACTGTAAAATCGGAAAAAGTAACATCGAAAGATTTAAAAGCAAAAAATTGAAAAATCTAAAGATTAAAATTTTAGAAACTGAAAATGGGAAAATGGGAAAATTCGAAATATAGTAGATACGAAAAATTGTATAATCGAAAAAAGTAAGATTGAAACATCGCAGATGGAAAAATTAAACAAACGAAAAATTGAAAAATGGAAATTGTGAAAACTTGAAAATACGAAAGACGTAACATCGAAAAATTGCAAGTCAAAAAACTGAAGAAACGAAAAGTTAGAAAAACCTAAAATGAGAATCTGAGAAACCGAAAAATCGAAAAAGTGAAAAATTACAAAAATTAGAAAAAATGTAGAATTGAGAACAGAAAATCGAAAAATTGCAAACCCAAAAACTGAAAAAAAAGAAACGAAAAATCGAGAAATTGAAAATTCAGATTGAAAAATAGAAAAATTGTGTTTCAATTATATAAATAAAATTACAAACAATGGAAAAGAGAAAAAATTAAAAAACGAAACATTGAAAATCTAAAAATTAAAATTTAAGAAACCGAAATAGCGAAAATGTGGAAATTCGAAAAATAGTAAATACAAAAAATTGTATAATCGAAAAAAATAAGACCGAAAAACCGCAAATGGAAAAATTTTAACACAAAAATTGTGAACAATTGAAAAACTGAGAAATGGAAAAATTGTCAATATTAAAATTTGAGAATATGAACAATCGAAAATGCAAAAAGTCGATAAATTAAAAAATTAAAAAACTGAAAAAGTGATAAATTGTAAAGGTGATAAATTGTTAATACGAAAATCGAAAAATTGAAAAATTTCAGAATGGAAATATTGTAAACTCCAAAATTGTACAATCCGAAAACAAAAATTTAAGAACGAAAATTTGAAAAATCTAAAAATAAAAATTTAAGAAATTTAAATAGCGAAAATGTGGAAATTCGGAAAATAGTAAATACGAAAAATTGTATAATCGAAAAAAGTAAGACCGAAACACCGCAAATGGAAAAATTTTAAAATAAAAATTGTGAAGAATAAATTGAAAAATCCTGAATATTAAAAATTGAGAATCTGAACAATCGAAAATGTGAAAAATCGATAAATTCAAAAACCAAAAAACTGAAAAATAGAAAAATTGTAAAAGTGAAAAATTGTAAATATGAAAAATTGAAAATTTTCAAAATTGAAAAATTCGAAAAAATTTGGATAAACAAAAAAGTGTAAAATTGAAAAATTACAAAATCGAAAAAATTTGGATAAACAAAAAATAATTGTAAAATTGAAAAATTACAAGATTGAAAAATTGAAAAATCTAAAAATTTAAATTTAAGAAACTGAAATAACGAAAATGTGGAAATTCGGAAAATAGTAGATAAATACGGAAAATTGTATGATCGAAAAACCCCAAATGGAAAAATTTTAAAATAAAAATTGTGAACAATTGGCAAACTGAGAAATTGAAAAATCGAAAATGTGAAAAAACGAAAAATTGTAAAATACAGAAAAAGTAAGATCGCAAAATTGCAAGTCGAAAAAACGAAAAGTTGGAAAATCCTAAAACGAACAACTGAGAAACCGACAAGTCGAGAATGTGAAAAATCAAAAAAATAAGAAAAATCGTAAAATAGAGTAAAAAAAATCGGGAAATTAAAAAATTGCAAAATTGAAATATTGTAAAATCGAAAACTGTAACTGGAAAAAGAAAGATCGAAACATTTAAACACGAAAAATTGAAAAATCTAAAAATAAAAATTTGCGAAACTAAAAAGCGAAAATGTGAAAATAATTCGGAAAGTAGTAAATTCAAAAACTGTATAATCGATAAAAATTAGACTGAAAAATCGAAATTGTGAAAAATCGAAAAAGTCTAGAAATGAAAAATTGCAAACTTCAAATCTGAAAAAACGAAAAATTAGAAAATCGAAAAGTTGAAAAAGCCAAATATGTGAAATTCAAAAATTGAAAACAACGAATTGAAACGGAAAATCGAGTAATTGAAAATTCGCAAAAATTCAAATGGGAAATACCAAAATTAAAATATGTAGGTACCTAAAAATTGAAAAAAGGAAAAACTGTAAAATCTAAAAATTACAAACCGAAAAATTGAAAAATAAAGAAGCAAAGAAATTTAAAAGTGGAAAAAAGTTAAACAATTTGAGACATAAAAGCCTCGAAAAATTGCAAAATCGAAAAAAGTACCACCAAAAAACGAAAAATTGTAAAATTTACAAATTATACTTATATAAATAAGTAAGTAATATGAAAAATTGTAAAATCAAAAAACTGTAAAATTGAAAAATCCAGAAATTGAAAAAACGAAAAACTGTAAATTTGAAAAACTGCAAAATCAAAATTTGTAAAATCGAAAAAAGTGAGATCGAAAAACTCCAAAATGAAAAATTGACAAAAAGAAAAAGTGAGATCGAAACATCGCAAATTGAAAAATTCAGAACACGGAAATTAAAAAAAAATCGAAAATCTGTTGAAACAAAAATTTGAAAAACCTAAAATTAAAAAGTGAAAAATTGAACAATTGAAATTGTGAAAAATCAAAAAACTGTAGAAACGAAAACTTGAAAATACCATAAAAGTAAGATCGAATAATTGTAAGTCGAAAAATTGAAGAACCAAAGTTGGAAAAATAAAAAAAAAAATGAGAAACCAAAAAACCGAAAATGTGAAAAATAAAAAAATAAGATAAATTGTAAAATCGAACATTTACAAACTGAAAGAAGAAACGAAGTGTTAAAAAATCGAGAAATTGAAAAGTTGAAAAAGCCATATATTTGAAAATGAGAAATTGAAAAAAAAATTGAGGAACCAAAAATTTAAGATAAAAACCTTTCAGACCAAAAAATCGATATAACTTAAAGCTAAAAAATCAAAAACATGAGAACAAAAAATTGCAGAACAAAACATTCAGAAATCGAAAAATTGAAAAATCCAGAAACTGAAAAAACGAAAAACTGAAAAATTGCAAAATCAAAATCGTAATTCGAAAAATCGTACAATAGGAAAAAGTAAGATAAAAAAAACTGCAAAATAAAAAGTGAAAAAACCAAAAAAGTGAAACTGAAACATCTCAAATCAAAAAATTAAGGGCACAAAAATTAAAAAATCGAAAAACTGTTGAAATGAACATTTGAAAATATGAAGATAGTAAGTTCGAAAAATTGTAAGTCGAAAACTGAAGAAACGAAAAATTGTAAATAGAAAACTGAAGAAACGAAAAAATTAAAAAGTGAAAAATCAAAAAATTGAAGGAACGAAAAGTTATAAATAAAAATCGAAAAACTGACAAATCCTTCAGTGACTTACTCTGTATACGCGATCTGTTTAAGCTTAAATACATTTTTTTCTTTTTCGAAATAAAGTCGTTTTGCACATTTGTAAGTTGTATTACGATATTTTCAACTTATAATTCTGAATATATTTTTTTTTTTCAGAATTTTATAGTAAACAGGATGTTTTCCGTTTTGCATAAATCAATAATTATTAATTCTACCAGCTTTTGTCTCATATTTATCGAAAGCAAACTTTTCTTAGATCTTAAATATTTAAGATTCCGATGTCATTTTATAAAAGTTAATTTATTTATTTTCAGAAAATATTACCGTATGCAAAAATCATCGCCACGACTCATATTTAAAAATGCAAATTAACTGCATATTTGTGTCGATTTTTGTTTCAATAATTAATTATTTACAAATCGCTTCCAACCATGTAGGAAGCTTCCCATGCCAATCTCAAAATAACGAAAGTGACCATGACTTGCACATGCTTTGCGCTTTCAGTTACCCATGATTTATTTCTTGCGCCGTTTTTTGCTAATTCTGCCAAACCTTGCGCAACCACCGCATCTTTCCTCAACCCATCCAACCCAAAGGTCGCACCAACCTCCACCAAAATCCACCCACCAAACCCCCCATCACCGAAGGTCCCCCAACATCCGCATCCATCGCGGCAAAAAACCAGCGAAAAAATCCTTGACTCCGCATTGCTCTATGGTCAAGGCGTCCAATTTCCTCCAGCACCAAGTCACGACAACATCTCTCAAAACCAACTTTATTTTTATTTTCATAACGAACGTAATTAATTTACAAAATCAACAATCGTGCTCAGTAGTGGATGGCATGGGCGTGCGAGTGCGCGTGCAGGGGGGCCGGGGCGTAGGCGACCCTGGCGACGGGGGCGACGTGCGCCACTGGTGCCACCGCCCTGACGGCAACAGCCAGCGGCTCCTTGTGGACTATAGCGTTGAAGCCGTTGTGGGGGTCGGAGGCGTAGTTGACGGTGCGCTTGGTGCCGTCGGGGTCCACCACCGAGTAGCTGCCCTGGACGATGTCCCCGCGACGGACCTCGTGCTGGCTCTTGCTATCTCCAGTCAGGGGGTCGTTGACGGCGTAACCGAAGTCGTAGTGGGCGGGCGCGCGCGGCTCGGCGATGATGGGGGCGGCGTACGCCACGGGCGCGTGGGCCACGTGGGCCACGGGGGCGGCGGAGTAGCTGAAGGGCACGCCGGCGCGGGCCACGGCCAAGACGGCGGCGAGAACTACGACCTGAAAAGGAATTTCATTTTTGGAAAAAAGGGACGTTTTCGGGTCCTTGCTAATTTCGGGTCCAACATCAGCAAAAATGGATATTTTCATTATAAGAAAAAATATGTTTGAGTATAGAAAAAATCAAAAAATTGAAAAATTCAAAAGTTTTAAAAGTGAAAAAGCGAAAAATTCAAACATGAAAACTCGAAAATTTGCAAATCGAAAAAATAAAATCAAAAAAACAAGATTTTGAAGAAAATATAACACTTGAGTAAACCGCTAATTGGGACCGTTTTGGGTACTCTCAGCTACTTACTTTGAACACCATGTTGCTGTGTAGGATTTTTTGCACGGATCTGCTCATCACCACGCCAGATTCGCTTTTATAGCACTTTTTTGAAGGTGTGGTTCCCCCCAAAACCAAATTTTTAATTAACACGGAACAATATCGAAAAACTTATAACGCACACGAACCTCATAAATCACGGAATTTTCTTAATTGGCGCTTTATCATCGTCTACAAAATTCCATAATTGGCAATTTTCCGAAAAATTGCCACCGACGTCATTATCACCGTTCTAATTTTATGCAGAACGTTACCTTCTTCTTTTAATTGATTAATGGCGGCGACATTGAGACACACATAAAAATGTGAATGTATCGCACAAAAACGTCAAATCTACCCTCATTGGTCCAGAGAATGGCCATAACTCATTGTTATTGTTGTTGCTTAACATTTGAAAGAATTCGCGATGTTCGACGGACTTTGATTTAGTGTGTGGTAAATTTCATGGTCGTTTTGCGTTGGGACGAAAAGGTGGAACATCTGGGCCTGTGGCCCTTGATTGAGCGCGATTGGAAGGGCCCGAATTGGCCTCCCTTTCTCTGAGCGCTGGCCGAGTGATGCGCCACTGGATTACCTTAGTGTGGTCCGTATTGCGACATTTTAGGACCCGTGACCTTCGCTCGACTAACCTTGCGCGTTTTATATAAGACGAAGTGGAAGCCAGTGATGAACAGTACTGATGGGGGAATTAATGAGCACAGGTTTGGAATGTTTCGAAGTTTTGAAATATTTTCGTGTGTTTATTTTTTATTAAATTGTTGGATTATGTTTAATTTTTTTGAATCATCGGCTAATTGAGAATATGAAGGTCGGAAGTTATGTATGTCATAGCACTCATAACTCAAAACTTTCTGGTAATGAAACTGCCGCCAACTAGCGCAGAACTGAAAATTAGGTGGTATGAAAAATTTACAAATTTCGGAAAATAATAAATACGAAAAATTGTATAATCGAAAAAAGTAACACCAAAAAACCGAAAATGTGGAAAAACGAAAAATTGTGAGAAATCGAGAAAGTCTAGAAACGAAAACTTGGAAATTCGAAAAAGTAAGATCAAACTTGCAAGTCGAATAATTGAAAAGAAAAATTGCAAACTTAAAAACTGAAAAAACGAAAAGTTGAAAAAGCCAAATATTTGAAATTCAAAAATTGAAAACAAAGAAACGAAAAATCGGGAAATTGAACATTCGCAAAAATTCAAATAGTAAATACCAAAATTAAAATATGTAGGTACCTAAACATTGAAGAATGGAAAAATTCTAAAATCGAAGAATTGCAAACAGGAAAATTGAAAAACAAAAATGCAGGAAAATTGAAAAGTTGAAAAAGGTTAAAAAATTTAAGATATAAAGGTCCCGAAAAATTGCAAAAAACGAAAAATTGTAAAATTTACAAATTACAAATAAATATGAAAAACTGTAAAATCAAAAAACTGTAAAATTGAAAAATTCAGAAAACGAAAAACTATAAATTTGAAAAACCGCAAAATCAAGAATCATAAAATCAAAACATTGTACAATCGTTAAAAGTAAAATCAAAAAACTCCAAAACGAAAAATTGAAAAAACGAAAAAGGGAGATCGGAACATCGCAATTTGAAAAATTCAGGACACGAAAATTAAAAAAAAAATCAAAAAACTGTAGAAACGAAAACTTGAAAACACCATAAAAGTAAAATCGAATAGTTGTAAGTCGAAAAATTGAAGAAACAAAAGTTTGAAAAACCAAAAAAGAAAAATTGAGAAACCAAAAAACCGAAAATGTGAAAAATAAAAAAATTAGATAAAATGTAAAATCGAAAATTTGCAAATTGAAAGAAGAAACGAAAAGTTAAAAAATCGATAAATTGATAAACAGAAAAGATGGAAAAGCCAAATATTTGAAAGTGGGAAATTGAAAAAAAAAACGAAGGAACGAAAAATCTAAGATAAAACCTGGAAAATTGTAAAATTGAAAAATTAAAAAATCGACAAATTATTGTACAATTTGCAAATTATAAGTACGAATAATTATACAAATGAAAAAACTGCAAAATCGAAAAATTGAAAAATCCAGAAACTGAAAAAACGAAAAACTGAAAAATTGCAAAATCGTAATTCGGAAAATCGTACAATCGGAAAAAGTGAGACTGAAACATCGCAAATCAAAAAATTAAGGACACAAAAATTAGAAAATCGAAAAACTGTTGAAATGAACATTTGAAAATATGAAAATAGTAATAGTAGTAATAGTTAAGAATTAATGAGCACAGGTTTGGAATGTTCCGAAGTTTTGAAATATTTTCGTGTGTTTATTTTTTATTAAATTGTTGGATTATGTTTAATTTTTTTCAATCATCGGCTAATTGAGAATATGAAGGTCGGAAGTTATGTATGTCATAACACTCATAACTCAAAACTTTCTGGTAATGAAACTGCCGCCAACTAGCGCAGAACTGAAAATTAGGTGGTATGAAAAATTTACAAATTTCGGAAAATAATAAATACGAAAAATTGTATAATCGAAAAAAGTAACACCAAAAAACCGAAAATGGAAAAATTGTGAATAATGGAAAAACTGAGAAATTAAAAAATCGAAAATGTGGAAAAACGAAAAATTGTGAGAAATCGAAAAAGTCTAGAAACGAAAACTTGGAAATTCGAAAAAGTAAGATCAAACTTGCAAGTCGAATAATTGAAAAGAAAAATTGCAAACTTAAAAACTGAAAAAACAAAAAGTTGAAAAAGCCAAATATTTGAAATTCAAAAATTGAAAACAGAGAAACGAAAAATCGGGAAATTGAACATTCGCAGAAATTCAAATAGTAAATACCAAAATTAAAATATGTAGGTACCTAAACATTGAAGAATGGAAAAATTCTAAAATCGAAAAATTGCAAACAGGAAAATTGAAAAACAAAAATGCAGGAAAATTGAAAAGTTGAAAAGGTTAAAAAATTTAAGATATAAAGGTCCCGAAAAATTGCGAAATCGAAAAAAGTACGATCAAAAAACGAAAAATTGTAAAATTTACAAATTACAAATAAATATCAAAAATTGTAAAATCGAAAAATTGAAAAATTCAGAAAACGAAAAACTATAAATTTGAAAAACTGCAAAATCAAGAATCATAAAATCAAAACATTGTACAATCGGAAAAAGTAAAATCAAAAAACTTCAAAACGAAAAATTGAAAAAACGAAAAAGTGAGATCGGAACATCACAATTTGAAAAATTCAGGACACGAAAATTAAAAAAAATCAAAAAACTGTAGAAACGAAAACTTGAAAACACCATAAAAGTAAAATCGAATAGTTCTAAGTCGAAAAATTGAAGAAACAAAAGTTGGAAAAACCAAAAAAGAAAAATTGAGAAACTGAACCGAAATGTGAAAAATAAAAAAATTAGATAAAATGTAAAATCGAAAATTTGCAAATTGAAAGAAGAAACGAAAAGTTAAAAAATCGAGATATTGATAAACAGAAAAGATAGAAAAACCCAAATATTTGAAAATTGGAAATTGGAAAAAAAAATGAAGGAACGAAAAATCTAAGATAAAACCTGGAAAAATTGTAAAATTGAAAAATCGATAAATTATTGTACAATTTGCAAATTATAAATACGAATAATTATACAAATGAAAAAACTGCAAAATCGAAGAATTGAAAAATCCAGAAACTGAAAAAACGAAAAACTGAAAAATTGCAAAATCGTAATTCGGAAAATCGTACAATCGGAAAAAGTGAGACTGAAACATCGCAAATCAAAAAATTAAGGACACAAAAATTAAAAAATCGAAAAACTGTTGAAATGAACATTTGAAAATATGAAAATAGTAATAGCAGTAATAGTTAAGAATTAATGAGCACAGGTTTGGAATGTTCCGAAGTTTTAAAATATTTTCGTGTGTTTATTTTTTATTAAATTGTTGAATGAGATGTTTCATTTTTTGAATCATCGGCTAATTGAGAATATGAAGGTCGGAAGTTATGTATGTCATAACACTCATAACTCAAAACTTTCTGGTAATAAAACTGCCGCCAACTAGCGCAGAACTGAAAATTAGGTGGTATGAAAAATTTACAAATTTCGGAAAATAATAAATACGAAAAATTGTATAATCGAAAAAAGTAACACCAAAAAACCGAAAATGGAAAAATTGTGAATAATGGAAAAACTGAGAAATTAAAAAATCGAAAATGTGGAAAAACGAAAAATTGTGAGAAATCGAAAAAGTCTAGAAACGAAAACTTGGAAATTCGAAAAAGTAAGATCAAACTTGCAAGTCGAATAATTGAAAAGAAAAATTGCAAACTTAAAAACTGAAAAAACGAAAAGTTGAAAAAGCCAAATATTTGAAATTCAAAAATTGAAAACAAAGAAACGAAAAATCGGGAAATTGAACATTCGCAAAAATTCAAATAGTAAATACCAAAATTAAAATATGTAGGTACCTAAACATTGAAGAATGGAAAAATTCTAAAATCGAAGAATTGCAAACAGGAAAATTGAAAAACAAAAATGCAGGAAAATTGAAAAGTTGAAAAAGGTTAAAAAATTTAAGATATAAAGGTCCCGAAAAATTGCAAAAAACGAAAAATTGTAAAATTTACAAATTACAAATAAATATGAAAAACTGTAAAATCAAAAAACTGTAAAATTGAAAAATTCAGAAAACGAAAAACTATAAATTTGAAAAACCGCAAAATCAAGAATCATAAAATCAAAACATTGTACAATCGTTAAAAGTAAAATCAAAAAACTCCAAAACGAAAAATTGAAAAAACGAAAAAGGGAGATCGGAACATCGCAATTTGAAAAATTCAGGACACGAAAATTAAAAAAAAAATCAAAAAACTGTAGAAACGAAAACTTGAAAACACCATAAAAGTAAAATCGAATAGTTGTAAGTCGAAAAATTGAAGAAACAAAAGTTTGAAAAACCAAAAAAGAAAAATTGAGAAACCAAAAAACCGAAAATGTGAAAAATAAAAAAATTAGATAAAATGTA